TGCTTTTCGATAATAACACCACCAGTTGGTCAGGCTATCCTTTAAGTTCCTGGCTTTCCGCAATTATCAGCTGTCCACATTGAACTGCTTTCAAGACCGGGTAACCACCTGCAGCAGCTTGCCATTTGTGCACCTGAGTGGGTTAATGCAGCAAACAAAATACCTGCAGCTGTGAAAGGAAGTGGCCGAACACATGCATAAAATAATTTTAATTATTTTACACATGTTCTCGGCTACTTCCTGAACACTCAATCTTCGTTTAAACGAAGATTGAGTGTTCAATTGCTACAACGTTCACTAAAACAGCGAGAGTTAACATCACCTCTTGCGACAATTTTTTTGAATCTTTGCCAAAGAAAAGTAAAGAGGAACACGAGAGAGGAAGTGACGAACCAAAAGATGGAAATTACCAGTCGACCACTGTTTTTTCCGAGCGTCGGCTCTCCCTCGCGAACAACCGTCAACGAGCTCGAGGGAAAAAAACACAGACTTTGGTGAGTTGGCTCAAAAATTATAGTTACTCCTCAAAATTTAATTGGCCTAAAAGGGTTTCAGTAGATCAAGTTATATGAAAATCGGGGAATTGTCGAGCACTAATTAATTAGTGAGTGGATGACACTGGGTTTAGGATTTTTAGGTTAGGATTAGGTCTTATTTAAATTTAGGTTAGGTTAGGATTTTTTACCTTTCCGCGAGCATCGCAAAAGAACGTAATTATATATGGTCTTTTAAATCGTATTCAGATACACAAGCGACTCTTTTTATCCACAAATTGTAACTTGCTAGCGTAAATGGGGTTTTGTTTTCGATTGACGCGACGTATTGTGCGCATGCTCTCAGTTATGTGTCTCTTACTCAATATCTCCAAGTAGCTCCATGTCATGGCCTGTCTGCCGCTTTGCAAAGACTTCGTGTCTAAAAATGACAGGCTTTTGGAAATTGAAACGCTGTTTTCTCGGGCCAAAAAGTTTTAAAAAGTATCTATTCAGCGTAGGGAACTCTTCGTCGTTCTTGAAGATAGCGTTTTAACAATTTAACTGCATATTTTCGTAGTAAACAATCTCCTTTGGTTATAGTATATACCAAGAGACTATAAAGGGGACAGAGAGGGCATCCCCCATATACACCCTATTCCATAGGTAATTCGTCTCGAGTTATTTTTAACACCACAGATCTCATGGGGGATTAGAAAACAGCCAATCACATAGCGCGAATGTGTTCCGCGTGGATGACCCACGCTGAGAGCCACGCGTCCTTCACGAAATGACGCAGGACAAAATGGGGGAAGACGCGGAGAGCGATTTTGCTATTCCTTTTGTCGACGAAAACGACTACAGCGAGATTTCTGCGAAAGCTGTGTCAGCGAAACCGAAATTAGAAAAGAATCGCCCTTCCTCTCTTGTATAGAGCTAACAGTAGGGCAGGGAAATCCTTAACACACTGAGTATTCTCTCAGGATCATTTATAATTTACAGTTTGAAGAGAGCAATTTCTGGTTTGATGTTTATTTTTTTCAGTCTTTATAGCGATTATTCCTACCCACTTACTTTGTCAATTGTAGGCGAACCCTCCTAAAGCTGAATTTCAAGGGACCATATTCAAGCTCAGAAAGAGAAATAAATTTCGTCGTTGCTTATTTACGTCCTCCATAAAACGCGAAATTAGGCATTTTCACGTCGTAGTCGTGCAAAAACGGGAAAGAAATGAACAAAAAAGTGTGTTGCACGTGCGAAGTTGTTGTTTTGCTAATTAAACCTATTGTTTTTTTGACGCTCTAGTTGTCGTCCGCGTCGTTGGATCTTAAGGTGATTCCCTAGTTTTGCACTGCGCATCTCTTACTGCGCATAACAAGATGGCGGCCGTAAAAAAGAGCATCAACCTCGTCCCCAGGGCTTTTCCCTTATTTTTTAAGGGAAAAGCCCTGGGGACGAGGTTGGTTCTTTTACTATGGAATCACCTTAAACTCCCTAAATTGTACAAACGACCGGTTTCAATAGACCGGCGAAATTTCTCATTTTATTGAAGCACTGAGGTTACGACAACTTCGAGTTAAACTGATTTCACGGGTTGTCAAAGAGTCCAGCGATTCCTTTTTCGCAGGTGAGCGCCGACTCATTTCGCTTCAATATTCAGGAATGCTCTCGATCTTTTTACGCTTTCATTGCCTCTCGCCCAACATGTTTTGCACGGCGTTTGGTCATGCGAAACCTCCACGAAACATCCACGCCTCGCGCGAGGTAACTTTATCCCGATTCTAAAAATAACTCGAGACGAATTACCTATGGAATAGGGTGTATATGGGGGATGCCCTCTCTGTCCCCTTTATAGTCTCTTGTATACACTTTATCTTTGCAGAAGAAAAGAGTGAACAGATTTTTCTCCTGGTTACGACGCCATTCTTGTTTGAATAATACGTATTAATTTATTTTTTTGTTATATTTTATTATTTTTTACCCACCCTTGTGATTGACTGAAACTTTTTAAAGAAAACAACAAAATAGATGAAAACAAAAAAACAAAACAAAACAAACAAAAAGTAATAGCACAAAGAAAGTTTGAAATGTGAGAAACAAAATTAAAGCAGGTAATAATAGAATTGAAAAATAAGAAAATGCCAAAAAAACAGAAAGCTTTTTTAAAAAAGCTCTCTGGTTATTTGGCGCTTTCTTATTTTCATAAATGAAGATGTTTAGAGCGAGAGTAGCCCCTTTTCAAAATCTTTTTTGAAGGTGCTTACGCATAGTTCATTGCGTCTTTCGTCTAATCTAGGTAAGTTAAGAAAAAGAAGAGCTTCTCATGAAAGCGCAGGTACAGGCACCCAGGGTACTGCACCCTGGTCTGCATACGTGACACTGGACTCCGAACTTAGGACTTACTAAAAATAATAATAATTACCCCGGAATCACCCGTAGAAAAAAAATGTTTTTATGTTTATGGTGGAACACGCATGAGGGACATAGTTGGACCGCACCCTACAGTGGCCCTGGACTGGACTCCGGACTGGACCAGAGAAAGGACTCTGGACTCCGGACCCTGGACCATCACAGGGATGGTCCATGGACCCGGCATCCATGTTTTGTATACATCCGGGAAAAAAGGCGAGCGGGTGGGTTACGGGTTAGAGCGAGGGAACGCCTGAAGTACTTTTAACAAAAGCTTGTTCCCGTATACCAGATTCTGGTACACCCTAGGCCTATGATTGGTCTATTTTGACATCTCTTGTCAGCACTCGGAGGTTCATTACCTTGATTGGAAATGTGATGCGGTAGTAATGAGATGTTACACAGCAAGTTATCTCGAAAGCGTAGTGTGTGAAGTGTATCGAAATAAGCAACATCCTCCCCGAAGAACAAGAAAAATCGTTTTGAGGCTGGACTGATCTCGTCAAATGAAAGTAGGGCTTCGAAATTTTACCATTTATTGGCTTTCAAATGAGCTCTTTTCTTTCAGTTCTCTTCAGGAATATGAAATACGCGAGTGAATCTTCTATTGATATGAGTCTTTGTTTAGCCTGCGAATACAGCTGTTTCTCCTTGCTCCTCGCCAATAGGGACATTTCTCCTTTTGTCGCTACTCAAGTACAACAGTTTAACAGAATTGGAGTCGCTACAACAGTAGGGAGGCGTGGACGAATTGGCTGTGATTCTGCCGGCAAAATCTTAATTCAACATTTTGCCGGCGAAATCTTGAAAATTCAAGATAAACCAGTAAGAAACCACAATAAAATAAATCGTTAAAATGCGAGGAACTACCGATTTGAACTATGAAAAAGGACAATTTCACTGCTCACATGGAGTGTTTTCAGAAATCGCTTAAGGGAGTTTGTACCTCCCTTGGTTGCCTCGATCATGGCAAAGTTTGACCAAATTATGGAGCGTTTTGGAAATATTTTGAAACAAAGTTTGAAGGGCCATAAAAACATTGAATAAACATGCTATCGACATAATTGGCTCATATCTAAAGAAAATGATGAGGTTTTGAAATGCAGTTTTGTCTCATAGTGTTACGCGGGTAATCTTTTAGAGGACGGGTACTGGCTTGCAAACTAAACTGAACGCAGGGTCAGGAGTCGGAACAGCAACAAGAAGATTTATTCCAAAAATGAACGTAGTTTCCACGAAGTAAAACTCCACAACAGCACGTAACTCGATAAACTTACACGGCCTCCGCCAACTTGAATTAACTTGATAAACTTACACGGCCTCCGCCAACTTGAATAAACACTACCTTCGTCACACTGGACTAAACACGACCAACGTCAAACTCTCTTCGCTTGTGAAAACTAGTTAAAACTTAACTCGGACTCGCCTATTTATATACTTTTACAATAAGATTCTAGAACTTTCTAAATAGTCTAATTATAGAAAGATTACAAAATATACCGCTTTTATAAACGCTTACACAAGATCCTAAAATGAACAAACTATGAACTCTCGCGAAGCTTCTAGAATATCACATTTAAAAGTCACGCAATGCAATTTTTCGTAACACATAGCATAGCGATTAATTTCGGAAGATATCTCCGAATTATGCTATAATGTAGCAGATCATGGTAAAGACACTATCTTAAGCGTAACGTTTTCATCATGAGGAACGCAGAAATAAGTCGCTTTGCAATAGTTTATTTGAATTTATGTTTCCTTCTGAATGCAAATTAGAACAGCTACGTACTGCAAATCAAGACGGTTATTACAAATTGTTCACAAAATCGTCCACTGACGTTCCCTAAATCTAAGGCAAAACTAGAACTTGTTTGAAGAAAAAGATTGTTCGAAAAAGATTGTTCTAATGGTGCCTAATATTCGCAGTATGTGATTATTAAAGTTTCCATTGTAAGCGCGAAACACAAAAACAAAGGAAGCATTAAATAAATTATTGTATATAAATACAGCCGGCTCAGCTTATGGCTCAACGTTCTCGTAGCCCGTGATGCTTTCCATCAGCGGATTTTGAGAGGAGCCCACAAGATATGAGGAGATCAAAACAGTCCCTCTTCCAAAATGAGTCGAATAAGGAATCCAACCTGGGAGAACAATGAGAACCTGAAAGCCGATATACAGAAATACGTACTCCAGAATTTGACTCGCAAAGAAGTTCTAGACTTTCTGGGTCGAGACTATCCGCAATATGCGTGGAGTCTTCCAACTTTGAGTCGTAGGATGGCCAGAGGGGGGGGGGGTTACTCGGGATTTCAAGTGACGGGGATGATCGAAGGATTTTTTTGGGTTTGAAATTTTTTATTCCCGGACTTTTTTGGGTACGAAAATTTGGCAAGTATTTTTTGGGGTAGCTTGATTTGAGTAGGGATTTTTTGGGGGTATTAAAAAGAATCGGTAGTGCCCTGGCTGCGTAGTTCTGCGAATAAAGTACAAACAAACGTGTTTTGCTGTTGTTTAATAGTTAACTATGGTGTCGCTTTACATCGCACGTGTTATACAGTAGTCTGCATTGTCCCGTGGGGAAGGATTTATTCAGATGGTATGATGAATAAACAAACACGAGTGTTCTATTTCCAATGTTTTTCTTTGTGTTATAGCATTACCCCTTTCTGGAACTTTTAAGGGCCACAAAATCAGTACGGGATTTTTGGGGGGTTAATTTTTGGTCCAGGGATTTTTTTGGGTCTTGACTTTTGGCTCCATTCGATCATCCCCGTCACTTGAAATCCCGAGTAGTACCCCCCCTCCTGGGAGGATGGCTTACTTCGAGATAAAATACGTAGACTACGAAACAGACCTGAAAGTCGTGGAAATGGCAGTTAAAGAAGAAATTGGTGGACCAGGACAACTCTTAGGGTACCGATCAATGCACCGAAAGTTACGAGAGTACCACCAGTTGGCAGTTCCACGAGGCTTGGTGTACGATGTGATGACGAAGGTTGACCCTGAAGGTCTTGAGAGCCGCGGAAAAGTTGGACAAAAGAAGCGGCACAGAGGGCCAACTGGCACATTTACATCGCTGGTAAGATAAGCTTATCTAGCAGTGCTATTGGTATGATTTCCGTGGGATCACGTAAGTTCATTTAATTGCAGTCGAACCTCGATTATCCGGACTTGTTTTTTTTCATGAATATTAATAAGATGTGATCTTGAAAATTGAAACTATTAAAAGTTCATTAATCTTTTTCAAATGTTTTCAAACATATATATTCAAAACTTTGAAGTCTGTCAAAACCAAACCAACACCTGTTGCCAAACATTTATATTGTCCAGTGTTTGTGGAGCAAAGTTTTGCCCTTTTGATGAGTGTTCACATATTGTTCTTTATATTACATAAATGCTAGACTTTATCCAGCTTCTACATTTAGATCTAACATGTTTGATACCATTTAGACAGCATGTTCAACATCACGACCAGTTTGGCCACCAAACATGTTTTAGGAGTGTGTGGTCATCAGACATTTTTCGTTTGGACAGGCCTTTGATAATGAAAAAGCAGGTCCTCAATGGAAATGTACAAGTTTTTTGGTTGTATTTGGTTTCTTACAGGGCCCAAACCACACGTACTCTGGAGATGGCCACGATAAACTTATGGATTTCATGAACAACACATTTCCCCTGGCCGTTTATGGTTTACAAGATGTTTTTAGTGGCTACATTCTTTATTTGAAACTGTGGCCCTCAAACTCAGATCCTAAACTGATAGCACGGTGGTATTTGGAGTATCTGTATGTATCAAGGGGTAACTGCAGTTGATAGTTGTTATCATAGAAGAGGCTAAACACAGTCTGAGATCAATATTGGTGAAGAGGAATGTGCACAAGTCCCAACTCCTAGACCCACCAAAGTGTCCATGAACAATACACCCTGCTCCCCCTGCAGTATCTTGTAAAAGAGTTTCTTAGCTCCAAACACTAATTTGTCTTATTCCCTCCCCCCCCGCGCCACCCTCCAATGGCTGTTAAATGGCTCACAATGAAAGGTATTGTCGAAAATGAGTCACATGTCTCTGAACAATAGACGCCTCACTCCTAAGCAAACAAAAACAATAACAAAGGCACATGGAGCATAATGGACAATACTGGGTCTTCAAATAACTGGAGAGTTTTCATCTTGTTCAGGGGGCAGTGTACTTGAGCAATAATTGGGTATATGCGTGCTGCTGAGGGTCTGAGCCCCAGACCCCATTTAGGATAAAAAAAAATAGTAAACCTACCCTACATAGGACAACACCTGCTATTTTAGGACCCTATCCTCACACTAGATTATAGGTCATGTACGGGAGTACCCCCAGTGTCTTAATTGATAAAGTTTGTCATATAACATCCTAAAACATAAATTAACATTGATGCATGAGATGTAAAACTTTCGGAAGAATTTTGTCAATTTCACACAACCTCATTCTGGGCCCTTCGATATTATTATTAATATTAATAACTTTATGACTGATGTCCTTTTATTGTGGACTCAGGATACAAAGTATAAATAGGTTTGACCATTGATCTCCTGTTACCCTCAACAGTAATCAGCCAATATCTGAGGCTGGATAAAGGATCATGCATATCTAAGACTTTCCTACGAAGATATTGATGCATCCAACACGGTTCACTATGGGCCTTCTACTAATAATACGGCATGGGTAATAATCGCATGCACCTCAATGGTTTGCATGTGAGTTTAGTAAATGAGCAAGTAATTGCTGTGAAGCCACCACGCTTTGCAGCACACTAATTCAGGTCGCATACGTGACCAGCCTGGGTTGCCTGTTAATGTACTTTTGAGTTGCCTATACAGTACTTTACAACTGTAATTGTCTGCAATCGTTATTGTTAGTGTCAGTTTTCTTTAATTGTCCTGCCCTGAACATCAAGTCTTTCATGCAAGGTATTTAACTAGTTAAGAATTTAATTTAATTTATTTATTTATATTTCATTTTATTTGCCACACAAAAATAGAAATTACAAATACCAGTAATATACATGTAGGAAAAGTAGAAGAAGAAGTGGCGGCTAATTATTCATAATATTCAAACAGATTGAGAGATGGTGGCGAGAACTCCATCATAGAATGGAGAAATTCTTCAAGAGGCAGTTGAGAATGCTGTTAGAGAAATAGTCCATTAGCTAGGGGGGTTGTATGGCTCACTTAAGGGCAAATTTGACTTTTTTTTATGAGGAAAAAGGCCAATTTGAAACAAATTGATAACTTTCTTTAACCCTTTGCATGCCTTTGGTGACGGCCGGCGAGTAGCGAAATAACCGCATTTTTCACCAATTCCTCTTCTTTGGACTGGTTTTCGACTAAGTAGCATGGCTAAAAGAATGGCTAAAAATGAATTTTTCATCAAACAAAGACCTATTTTCCGACTAATCGCCTAATTAAACAGCTTTTTTGTTTTTCACGCATGCGCACAAGCCAAAATTTTGACTTTATTTGCGAATCTATTTCGATCTTTCTCTATCGCTCTCTTTTTTTCTTTGCCTTTCTTCTATATTAGCAGTTTTTTTGCCCACTTTATCGTCTTTTTTTTAAATAGAATTGTGGCTAGCCAACTTTTTAGGAAAGGAAAAAAATTTACGTTTCAAAGAGTAGCAGATAATGACCACATTGGCAGTGGATTTTTCCTCAAAATGTACCTTTTCTGTGAGAGTAAAGTTGTTAGGATTAGTCAGTAGAACATACAAAACGAGATATCGTTAGAAACTTTTTGTGACTTTGTTGCTTACAAATTTATTAACTTATATAAACTGAAAGCTAAATGGGTCTAGGAAGGAAAACATGCATGATCATGCATCGTTCCATATGGAGTGACAACGACCAAAGTAGTCGTGAAAGGTTTAAGGCCATCGAAATCACAACGCTAGAAGAACATGTTTAGAGCTATTGTAGCTTCGTTTTCTACGGCAAGTAAATCATACCTCTTACCTAGAGACAATAAGGCACAAATAAGAGCAGATAACTTGCTCGGGAGGTGGGGGGAAGAATGCACTCAAGGGAAGTCTTGAAAGAGCTGTGTCGCCTAGAGTCACGTTAGTCACGTTAATAAAGTATGTATGTATGTAAAGTATGATGAGACCTTCAAACCTCGACACTGTTTAAGATTCTGACATTGATTTGTTTTGTTTTATATAAAGAATCAAATAGTTTTTCAAACTGACATTACGGAAATAGATACTTTGGAAAAAAATTATTGGTATTGCAAACGTAAACTGCTCATCGCTAACCTTCACAGACTTTTTAAGGCTTCCAGCCCCAAAAGACACTGTTCACGACGCTTTTAAGCGAATTTACTATTAAATAGCATTTTACTATTAAAATAATAAAATAAATAATTAGAATTTTACTATTAAAATAGTAAAATTCTACACCCGGTTTAGTACTCAAGACCTTGTGTTCAGCAGCACATACCTGACCTGTATAAGCCAAATACCTCGAAACGTGCTCCACTCTTCAGTCTAGAGCTTGTTTTAGGTCAAAAGCACTGTGATTCCATAACTGACATCATCCGCATAACACCATTCTTCACAGCTGAAATTCGCGTTTGGAAAATTTAACATAAACATAAATTCACATGTACTGCATTTTCTGCCCTAACATCATAAGCTGAAGAAAGGTTCATAGATATGAGTTGCAACTACTCTACGGTAACGTGCAAACGAGGGGAGCAGAACGATGGTTCTTCTTCACATTGAGGCTTGATAATTGCTCCTGTAAGTCGAAAAGATGGACTCACATGGCGGCAGTTTCTCCAGCTTGACCTTCCACCCTTAAGTTGGGGATGAATCTCGTAGCGGCGCACTATGCCACTTCTTTCCGTACAGTTCACATACGGGTGCTTCCGTATCTTGAATTTAGTTCTCATTGGATACTGATCACTCTTTCCCGCGATACTCGCCATAACTCGGACGTACCCTCCATTGGTTGAAGAAGCTGGATTGCTTTCCACTTCCCTTTACCAAAGAAAGCAGCGATGTTATCACAGCCTATGATCGAGTTTACACCTAGAAGGGCTCCTCAAGAAGCAGTAGTTAACATCGCCTGGGTCGAGTTGCATATAATGTTTCATGTAGCACCTTTTCAAAGTCAACTTTTTGCTATGAGCAAGCATTAGGACAAGGACATCAGTCTCAGTGTCAGTGTATCAGAGTGTATCACACTGTCATTCCTGCGCGCGTGCCGAGCATGGAGAACAAGACGCGTTTCAGCCTTTTCATCACGGAACTGTACCTCAGAAACAGGGTCTCTGATCACTATGTGTCTGCCTGTAGTCGCCCGACTGGTCTTAGGTTGTCACACGGGGAGTCCATGATCCAGTTGCCGAGTCTGCTTCTAAATGCTTCGGTTTTGCCCTGTGGCACAAGGAATTTGACGATTTCACTGAAATGTTTGGTGCCAAGCATCCTGGTCTATGATAACGATAGGCCACGTGGATATAACGAGTTTTTTTGGATGATCTTTTTTAATGTTGATTTTCGATGTTGATTTTCAATGTTTTTTCCAATGCTGATTTGCTATGTCGGTTTCCAATGTTGTTTTTAATGTTGACTTTCAACGTTGATTTTTGGCATTGATTTTCACTGTTGATTTTCAATGTCACGGTTTTTCCAAATGTCGTTTTCCGAATAAATTTTTCCTATGTTTTTTTATTACTTAATTACAATTCTGCCTTGGTTGATGTAACCCTATTTTTTTTTTACCTTCTTCTCGTTTTAGATATCTGTTTTCAAATAATTTTTTACTTAATATAATTTTATATCTTTATTTTTTCTATTTTTATCGCTTATGTTTTTCTGTTTCTTTCTATGTTTTATTCTTTCTTCGCAAAATCGTACATATTTTACATGATAAAGTTGGGCCACCATAGACGTGAGCTTGATCTACAGCTGCACGTGCATCACACTCTTTTTGTACATTTCTCCGCTGTCCCTACACAACTACAACTTAAGAACTGGAACGACAAGGGGATAAATTTATTTACTATCTCCCCCTGAACTCGGACACGGTCTCCTCTCTTCAGTTCCAACCTAACACATGTTCCATATACTTTCAATTCACTGAGCGACTTGGTATGAGGGCGAAAAAGTTTCAATGGACGGGAAGTCTATTTTTCAGCGACGTTTTCAATGGCGTCTCTGTTTTCGGATAGTAAGGTCCCTATTGGATTGTTTGCTCATTGTTCTTTGGTTCTTGTACCCTCCTTAAACACCAGTGCTTCCAAACTATGATTTGAGACAAACCGCCAGGGAATTGCCGGCCCCAAAACTGCCGCCTGCGATACCTAACACAATCCACTATCAAAGGCAGTTCTGCCAACTAATATTAAGATCTATATCCTTAAAAAATGATCATGTGCAAGGCTCTACTCGGTTACTTTTCCGCCTAAATTAAACCACCTGACTGATAAGCCTTTTAAACTCTTTCTTTATGTCTCTTTTGAAAAAAGCATAAGACAATGGGTTAATGGCCGAGTTTAAAACCAATACAGGAATTTTGTATTGTTCATCTTTACATGATGCATTTGTGTCGAATAGTACTACTAGACTACAACGCAAATATATTCCGTAGCACACAACAAACACTTCTATCACAATACCCATCATTATTACTGCAGACTTCTCGTTACGGGTTTTTAAATATATCCGTCCTAAGGTGCGTGCTGACGGATCTTCTTTCCATAGATAAATTAACATTGACACAAAACAGAGTATCTGCAGAACGCATGGAAAGATTTCCATGGAAATCATTAAAACCACAACTGCAACGATACTGGTCAGAGGGGTCACACAGCAAAGCCAAAGTGCGCTCTTAAACGCAACCAGCGTAAATGACGCTAACCAGCGGGAAGTTATCACTTGAATAACACGAGATGGTCATAACAGTTATGTATTCAAAAGTCTTTACGATGGCTATAACGGTCGAGCACCAGAGAACACAAGTTTAAAACAGACAAGTAGCTAAACAGCCACCTTACGACATCTTTCCATGAAGGAAAAGCCTGAGGCCAGTAACAGGTGCTTGTAACGTCGCAAGCTAAAAGAGAAGGAATAACGCTCAAACCAACACAGAAATCCGCTACTGCAAGTGAAACAATAAACGCGTTGGTTTTGGTGCGGAGATTTCGTCTGCTGCAGTCGAAGAAGATTATAAATCCATTTCCAGTGATGGCAAGAAACGAAAGAACCCATCCAAGAATCCAAAACCAGGTCTCCATTCGTCCTAACGGCAGTTAAGAGAAGTTCTTATTAACTACAAATAAAAGAAAAATAACGTAATACTATCCTCTTCGCAAAAATGTCAGGAGGTTGTATGTTATTCACTGGCAGAGGTATGCTACTAGACTGAAGTCCTTTTATTGTCTTACTTTGTCATAAACTTGGTAATATCTAATAATTATGTATTTCGCATGCGCAGTAAGTAACTGACCGAGCTGTTATAACACAGTTGGTAGGAAAGTGAGGATAGTTGCGTGTCTTAACCGCTGTAATTCAAAGTAATACAACAAAAATTCCGGTTGAAATGTTGGAAATTCTACTTGCCCAATGGAACTACATCGACCCCACCAAAGCCACAGCGCGTTTGGTTATTGTTCCTACAAAAGAGCCGTATTTGAGACAACAATTTTGTCAAATGGAAAGGGACACTCCAACATTGCCAATCTTAATCTAAATAGCTCTGACCTGGCTGGATCTTAATTATTCTCTTTACAACTAAACCAGTCCGGTCTATCAGTCACAACGTCAACAAGTCGTTAAATTTCAGAATACTGTGTCTGATCCCTTACCCCTTACTGTTGGGGTACCACAGGGATCCATGATGGGCCCGATGTTGTTTACATTGTATGTAAACTACCTCTTTCGAGTTCCAAAACATTGCGAACCACTCGGCTATGTGGATGACATCAAGCTCTTCCTTGGGTTCCCCGCCACCGAACTTGACGACGTTATCTCTGCAGTAAACGATTTGGTGCTGTAGAAATTCGCTGCTTATTAACCCTGACAAAACAAGGCTTCTTTATGTAGGCGTCCCACAACTCATGGGGACATTACCTACCCCTTTACTAAGTGCGACAATGCTGGGAACTCAAATCAAGCCTGTAACAGTTGCAAAGGACCTTGGAGTGTATATAGGTTGTCATCTTAACTTTAACGAACATATCACTAAAACTGCCTCTGACTGTATGTTTAAACTAACAAGAGTTAATAGAATAAAGCATCTCTTAGATAAAAAAATAAAAAAAAAAAAAAAAAAAAAAAAAAACATTGATCTATCTTATAAATGCTCTCGTTTTCAGCAAATTATTTTATTGTTCGACGGTATGGAGTAGCACGAGCAAGAAGAACGTTAGAAAACTTCAGCTAGTTCAGAACTATGCCTGCAGAATCGTAGCCGACTTAAGAAAATACGATCATGTTTCAGAAGCCCTGAAGTCCCTTAAATGGCTTAACGTAAGGGATAAACTGCTTTTTAACGACCTAGGGATGGTGTACAAATGCTTAAAGAACCTAACACCTGGTTACCTCCACAGACACTTCCAATATCGCGCAAAAACTCAGCAAAGAGTCACAAGACAGAACAAACAAATTACGTTGCCTCGGTATAGGCTGGCCACTGGCCAAAAAACTTTCAGCTACCGTGGGGCAAAACTTTATAACAGTATAGCTAAAGATATAAGAGACACTGGAAATTTTAACGCTTTCAAAAAGAGAATTTTTAAATATCTTTTTAATTCATAGATAGTTTTTTATTATTGAAATGTAAATAGCCTTTAGAATTAACGTCCATTATTATTTATAGAAATTCGTTATTTTATCATTGAAATGTAAATAGTTTTCTAGTTTATTTTATTCATTTTATTTTAATTCGTGTGTGTAATTTGTGGCGGAAGAGCCCCAAAGGGGGAGCTATGCAATAAAGTATGTATGTGTGTTTGTATGTATGTACTTCTGACAGATGGAATTAACCGAGACCTTAGCTGATTAAAAAAAATGTACCTTCACTTTAGTCTAAATTGAGGCCGACATATTTCTAACAAATTGCGACAGGTCTACTACAAATTACGACAAAAGTGCATTGATAAATAAAAAAGACGTCTCTAATATCGCGTACAGCGCGTTACTAAATTTGCCTGAGAACGTTTTCCGCCGTTGTCGTTTACTAACTATTCCTAAGAGAGAAAATAAAACAAGAAAGACATGAGCCAGCAGCATCACGGTAATCTGCTAAGTAGTCTGTTCCGTTTAACTCCACTGCTGTACTGAACAGAGTATGCAAAGGTTTTCAGTTAATAAATAGAGCAAGGAAAAAAAAAAACTGATCACGATGTGAAACAGAAAGACAATGTCGATAAGTTTTTAAAGGCAGTTCAACTGTGCAAAAAAACACCCTCTTCACAAAAACTTCTTGTCGAACAGTTTATTAATTATTCATAAAACCTTGTTGTTTTATAATCCTTTCAATATATATATAATTATATAAATACATGGCACAAGACGCCTGGGGTGTCTATATGATCTTTAACAACTGTTTCACTAGCTCAGTAATCAATCATTAACAATATTGTTTAGTTACATGCCTTCTACTGCATTTTTATTTCGTACAGCTAAGTTGGAAGGTTTTATTATTCATTCGGCATGCAACGATTTTAATGTCGTTCCAGCCACAAGCAAGACCAATATTAATTTCTTTGTCATGATTTCCACAGAATCTTAAGGAAAATTAGTCTTACGTTCGTGTAATGTTTGATAGCTACCTTCCTTTCTCCATAACGAGTCATTTTACACTTTACGCGATTTTATCATTTCAGTCACACCTGCAGGACTGAGCTGAAATAAACTTGCACGGAAAGATTACAAAACAACTTCATTTCTTTGTGCTTTTCTCAACAAGGAAATTACTTCATATAACAAGAATATCGTACAGTTAATCTTTCAGTTCGGTTCGGTAAATCTAGGAATCTATCGCCGATAACAGAGTTGATTACGAAGGCTATTGAAGAAACAACCTCAGTGTGGAGGAAAATTGGCGCCAAGCCTTATAAAGTCACCGAACCTCGAACTTCTGAACTTGTCAATCTTCTTTTCTCTTGTCAAACTGGTATTCAGAGTGTGAGCTTCCGTTTCAGACTGAGATTGACAAACTGATGATCATAACCGATGAGCCCGCTGTACAAAGCGCACGGCTATTAAGCCTGGGTTCCAAACTATGTCCAAGCAACAAGCAGCACATGCTCACGCTATCTTTGTTACTCGATTGACACAGAGTCATGCTCGAGTATGCCAAAATCAAGCAAGTGAAGCAAAGCGGGCTTTGGTAGCAGGGTGTGAAATTATACTCTCATGATGTGAAACTAAAACGTTCCATCCAATAAGAACTTGCGCCTCACACCACCTGTGAAGTCCTTTCCCTTGTATTTTCTGTTGGGGTCAAAAGGTTCTTGTTTTCTCTCCTAATCAGCTCCATTTTTTCCAAATTTCAATTCGCTTTGAGTCCAACCCACACGCATTCATCAGTCTTTTACCGAGTTGCTCAAGCCTTTCACACTCGTTCATAAAAGACTTACATCCTACAAGAATGAGTTACGCACGTCAAGTGGTAGGTTTTAGTTAACTTTGTTATTTTCTATAAAACACAGCGCCAACGAGTCTTTTAAACTCTTTCTTTATGTCTCTTTTGAAAAAGGCATAAGCCAGTGGGTTAATAGCTGAATTTAAAACCAAGAAAGTAATTTTGTAGTTTTCATCATTACATGGTGATGAGGATAGTATTAGAAAACTACAACGTAGATACATACCGTAGCAAACAAGAAACACTCCTATCACAATACCCATCATTATTACTGCGGACTTCTCGTGATGGGTTTTAAACGATACCTGATGGTTAAAACGCAACTGTTTTGCTAAGGTGCGTGCTGACTGATCATGCCTGCATACATGAAATATCATTGATACAAAGCAGAGCATTAATACAGCACATGGAAGAAACTCGGAAATTATGGTCGGCCAAATAAAAGGACAGTCGGAGGTATCATTTTGAAATAAGACAATACAAAGGGTATTTTTTAGCGCATTGTAACTAACTGGTAGAGCCCAAGAGAAGAAAACAACTTGGGTAATTCGACGGCGAGTCATCAAAGTAATATATTTTAGAGGATAGACGATGGCAATAAAACGATCCAGTACTAAGCCGCATAAGTTTACAATAGACGAGTGACTAAACAACAATCTTATAATATTCACCCACGATAACCCACGGGGAGGGGTTCTTTAGAAATTTTTTGGGTGGTAATGTGCCGCTGGGACACTGGAACACCTAGTCTTTACTCCTGGCTAAGCTGAATTTTGGAAATAGTTTGAAACAAAGTTTGAAGGGCCATATAAACATTCAATAAATATGCTATCGACATGCATAACTGGCTTATATCTAAAGAAAATGATGAGGTCTTGAAATGTAGTTTCGTCTCATAGAATAGCGATTAATTTCCGAATAAATCTCTGAATTATGCTGATGTTGGAGATCATGGTAAAGACAACATCTTTAGCGTCACTTTTTCATCATGTGGGACACAGAAATAAATCGCTTTGCAATAGTTTATTTGAATTTATGTTTCCTTTTTGCAATACCTGTTTTCAGTTAACTTTTTTAGCTTTATTTTGGTACGGAGACCCCTGAACATGACAGGAAAGTAACCGAGGATCCTTCTGAAAGCAAATTAGAACAGCTACTACGTAATGCAAATCAAGACGGGTATTACAAATTATTACAAAATCGTCCACTGACGTTCTCTAAACAGCTTTAAAACTTGTTTGAAGAAAAAGATTGCTTTTCGCCACCCCATAGGGATCAATGGGAATCTGAAAAAAAATATCCATGTTGCCTGTATGGATCATACAGATCATGCTCTAAAGTTTTTAATATTTCATTCACACCTAGCATGGACTGAGGTTAATTAACTATCAGTTTTCAGGGAAAGGAAAAAATAATACAATTCTTTTCCTGTACAAAAACAAAAACGTTTACTTCATGCTTGTTTAAATTCTAGGAAACTACTTAACAGAGTTGATTACAATAATTAATGTGGAAAATAAAGCCAGGAAAAAGAAATACTTTTCCTTGGTTTGAAACAAAAAGTTTCAATTAGAAATTTCGTCTACCACTACCTTTGACGTAGGCTTGATACCTCAGAATCGCCGTTTCAAGAGCAACTGACATATACTGCTAGGAACCTTACGAAACTACAACGGCGACGGCAAGAAGAACGCCTAAAACACAATAGGCTTCAGTGAGCAAAACAACACCTCCGGTTGCACGTGCATCACTTTTTTTTGTACATTTCTCCGCTGTCCCTATAGAACTACAACGTGGAATAGTCAATGTTTTTTAGATGACTGGCTTAAGAACTGGAACGACAAGGCGATAAATTTATTTACTATCCCTCTCTGAACTCGGACGCGGTCTCCTCTCTTCAGTTCGAACCTAACACATGTTCCGCACTTTCAATTCACTGGGCGACTTGGTATGAGGGCGAAAAAGTTTCAATGGACGCGAAGTCTATTTTTCAGCGACGTTTTCATTGGCGTCTCTGTTTTCGGATAGTAAGGTCCCTTTTGGATTGTATCCTCGTCCTCCTTTGGTTCTTGTACCCTCCTTAAACACCAGTGCTTCCAAACTATGATTTAAGACAAACCGCCAGGGAATTGCCGACCCCAAAACTGCCGCCTGCGATGCCTGACACAATCCGCTATCAAAGGCAGTTCTGCCAACCAATATTAAGATCTATGTCCTTCAAAAATGATCAAGTGGAAGGCTCTACACGGTTACTTGTCCGCCTAAATTAAACCAGCTGACTGATAAGCCTTTTAAACTCTTTCTTTATGTCTCTTTTGAAAAAAGCATAAGACATTGGGTTAATGGCCGAGTTTAAAACCAATACAGGAATTTTGTCTTGTTCATCTTTACATGATGCATTTGTGTCGGATAGTACTACGAGACTACAACGCAAATATATTCCGTAGCACACAACAAACACTCCTATCACAATACCCATCATTATTACTGCAGACGTCTCGTTATGGGTTTTAAAAGACATCCCATGGTTAAAACGTAACTGTTTTGCTAGGGTGCGTGCTGACCGATCATGTTTCCATACATGAAGTAACATTGACACAAAACAGAATATCTGCAGAACGCATGGAACGATTTCCATGGAAATCATTAAAACCACAACTGCAACGATACTGGTCAGAGGGGTCTCACAGCAAAGCCGAAATGCGGTCTTGAACGCAACCAATGTGAATGACGCTATCCAACAGAAAGTTATCACTTGAATAACACGAGATCGAGTCATAAAAGTTATGTATTTAAAAGGCTTTACGATGGCGATGTAACGGTCGAGCACCAGAGAACACAAGTTTAAAACAGACAAGTAGCTAAACAGCCACCTTACGACATCTTTCCATGAAGGAAAAACCTGAGGCCAGTAGCAGGTGCTTGTAACGTCGCATACAAACAAAGAAGGAATAATGCTCAAACCAACACAGAAATCCGCTAGTGCGCATGCAAGTGAAACAATAAACGCGTTGGTTTTGGTGCGGAGATTTCGTCTGCTGCAGACGAGGAAGATTGTAAATCCATTTCCAGTGATGGCAAGAAACGAAAGAACCCATCCAAGAATCCAAAACCAGGTCTCCATCCGTACTTACGGCAGTTAAGAGAAGTTCTTATTAACTACAGATAAAAGAAAAATATCTTCTTTGCAAATATGTCAGGAGGTTTTGAGTTATTCACTGGCAAATGTAAATTGTTACTAGACTGAAGTCCTTTTTATTGTCCTACTTTGTCATAAACTTGGTAATTTCTAATAATTATGTGTTTCGTATGCGCAGTTGAATAAGTATCTGACCGAGCTGTCGCAACACAGTTGGGTAGGAAAATGAGGATAGTTGCGTGTCTTAACCACTGTAATTCAAAGCCAATGGGCACTTTCAATACAACAAAAATTCCGGTTAAAATGTTGTTAATTCCAGTTGCCCAATTGAACTACATCGACCGGTGCAAAGCCTTGGCGCGTTTGTTTATTGTTCCTACAAAGGAGCGGTATTTGAGAAAACATTTTTGTCACTCCATGCAACATTAGCGATCTTAATCTAAATTGCTCTGATCTGGCTGGATCTTAACTATTCTCTTTACAACTAAACCAGTCTGGTCTGTCAGTAATAACAGATGGAATTAACCGTGACCTTAGCCATGATTAAAAAAAAAATGTACCTTCACTTTAGTCTAAATTGAGGCCGACATATTTCCTACAAATTGCGACAGGTCTACTACAAATTACGACAAAAGTGCATTAATAAATAAAAAGCCAAGGCCGTCTCTTAAATATCACGTACAGCGCGTTACTAAATTTGCCTGAGAACGTTTCCACTGTTGTCGTTAACTATTCATAAGCGAGAAAATAAAACAAGACAGACAGGAGCCAGCAGCATCACGGTAATCTGCCTAGACTGTTCCGTTTAACTCCACTGCTATACTAAATAGAGTATGCAATGGTTTTCAGTTAATAAATAGAGGAAGGAAAAAAAAAACTGATCACGATGGGAAGCAGAAACACAATGTCGATAAGTTTTTAAAGGCAGTTCAACTGTGCAAAAACACCATCTTCAAAAATCTTCTTGAATGTCTAACAGTTAATTAATTATTTATAGAACCTTGCTATTTTATAATCTTTCAATATGTATATATATACATGGCGCAAGACGCCTGGGGTGTCGATATGATCTTTAAGAACTGTTTCACTAGCTCAGTTATCAATCAATTAACAATATTCTTTAGTTAAATGCCTTCTACTTTATTTTTATTTCGTACAGCTAAATTGAAAGGTTTTATTATTCATTCGGCATGCAACGATTTTAATATCGTTCCAGTCACAAGCAACTCGTCTCTCCAATTTGCCGTTGGGCTTCCTTAGCAACCAATATAAATTTCTTTGTCATGATTTCCACAGAATTTTAAGGAAAATTAGTATTACTTTCGTGTAATGTTTGATAGCTACCTTTTTTTCTCCATAACAAGTCATTTTACTCTTTACACGATTTTATCATTTCAGTCACACCTGCAGGACTGAGCTGAAATAAACTTGCACAGAAAGATTACAAGACAACTACATTTCTTTGTGTTTTTCTCAACTAGGAAATTACTTCATATAACAAGAATATCGTACAGTTAATCTTTCAGTTCGGTTCGGTAAATTCTAGGAATCTATTGCCGTTAACAGAGTTGATTACGAAGGCTATTGAAGAAACAACCTCAGTGTGGAGGAAAATTGGCGCCAAGCCTTATGAAGTCACCGAACCTCGAACTTCTGAACTTGTCAATCTTCTTTTCTCTTGTCAAACTGGTATTCAGAGTGTGAGCTTCCGTTTCAGACTGAGATTGACAAACTGATGATCATAACCGATGAGCCCAATGTACAAAGCGCACGGCTATTAAGCCTGGGTTCCAAACTATATCCAAGCAACAAGCAGCACATGCTCACGCTATCTTTGTTACTCGATTGACACAGAGTCATGCTCGAGTATGCCAAAATCGAACAAGTGAAGCAAAGCGGGCTTTGGTAGCAGGGTGTGAAATTGTACTCTCATGATGTGAAACTAAAAAGTTCCATCCAATAAGAACTTGTATTTCCCTTGTATTTTCTGTTAGGGTCAAAAGGTTCTTGTTTTCTCACCTAATCGGCTCCAAATTTTCCAAATTTCAATTCGCTTTGAGTCCATGCCTCACGCATTCATCAGTCTTTTACTGAATTGCTCAAGCCTTTCACACTCGTTCATAAAAGACTTACATCCTACAAGAATGAGTTACGCACGTCAAGTGGTAGGTTTTAGTTAACTTTCTTATTTTCTATAAAACACAGCGCCAACGAGTCTTTTAAGATTAGTTGTCAGAGAAAACCGGCAAAATGTTAAAAATGTCAACGGAAGGGGGTCTACAGAATAAGTTCATACTAACATCATAGATAGGACTGGTGGAGTAATGGACAAATATACCAAACATAGGTTCTTCACTGCTCTTGTATTAGAGATACGAGCATCACTTTCTTCGACCCCCTCGGACGGCATTTTTATAAGCAAATTTTCACCAGTTTCTGAAACTCACAGAACCCTCAAAAAAAAACGAGCGAAGTTTATTTTTTGTATGCGATACAACACATCACAGAACTACTTTCTAAAACCATAAGATTTGTTAAGTACCCACGGACAAGACTAAAATTTTCTTATTTTATCTGACCTAAACTCAGTGTCTGCAAACGAGCAAAAAATCGGGCATTTTTGAATTGATCTACAGCGCACAACTAAAACGACAGAACAACTCTGACAGTCAAATTACAGTCTACTATCATCCATGTAACCAAAACACTAGTAATCATTTTGGGCCATTGAAACAGGAAGAAATTAGAAAACTCACATTTGTTATAGTTTCCAAGCTTTTTCTTGCAAACGGGCCGATCCTTTCGTGTTTGTTTTAAGTCCTCTTCGTGAATTTTCTTTCATACTTCGCTGTAAAGTATGTTCAACAGCTGGAGAACATATCAAAAAGCTCGAAATACTGCCTAGGTTACATTTTGAAAGGGCAAAAAGTGCTGAACGATAGGATGAAACTAGAAAATAACAAAGCGACGCCATCTTGAAAATTCAGCACTCAGGAGGGACTGGTACTAGTAGCTGTGTTCGATATCTAACATACGGACAAAAATTGCAGGTTTTTCACGACTCCGTTGTCTCGTAATTCCAAAAAGAGACTTGAGCACATAGAAAACCAAACCTAATATAGAAATTTAACCAGAAAGCCTCGGATTCATGTAAGAATTTTTCTTTATCGAACGTTGGCTAATACGAACTATTACCAGAAGCCTATGGGCTCCTGTAATTACCATAAGCTCACCAGTAAGATAAAAAACGAAAAACAAATAAACCAGCTTATCAGCGACCTACTCCAGTTTTATTTCTTCTTCAATTACTTCTTTTAGTTGAATTTAGCTTGTTTTTCTTTTAAAGGAAAAAACAAGAAGAACGCCTGATCGCAGGTTAATTTGTGATTAACTGGCACTGCTTCATTCCCTCCTCATTTCGAGGTGTCCCGTGAACGTAGATGTTAAAGATCTATTTTGTCTCTTTATGAATCACTTAACTTCGCTCTCATTCGAGCTACCTAGGCTTACTATGTATCAGCCTCGCGAGTTTCTAAGCGTGCAGGCTAACTACGGGCAGTGGATCAGTTGCTTGCTGTAAAATTTGCAATAATCGTTCAATTACCAACTGTTTATTAAAATAAACAGTTGAATCAGCGTGCGGAGCGGGCATTTTAGGCCGCAAAGCGGCCAAGACAGCGGACGAAGTAATTTTTGAAAGTAAGCCTTCTAACTGATGATGTCATCGCTGTCACTTCGCATTTCCATAAGATAATAGACTGTTGACCAGAGCTGCCAAAATAAACCATTCAAAGGGTTTACCAGAATCTGGTTTACCAGAAGGATCTGGAAGGAGCTTTTGTCAAAAAGTACCATTATAGGAGTTCCTTCGGCTCTCACTCCGTACCCCTTCCCCTCATTGTTTTTCCTGCTCACTTCTTTTTCAGTATGCTCTTTGCACGGTCCATACAAGGTAAACATGATAAACGCCACCGGTTGGCACGAATTTTTCACCTGCGCAACCCGTTTAGAGGGAACGTGCTCTCTATAGATTGCAATACTGTTTGCAGCTCAAAAACTTCACGGTTCCGTGGGTCGCATGTAAAGAAAAGGCGGATCCATGCAAGTTTTTGGCAGTTCAAAAATTTGTAAAAGGGGTCTGAACGTTAAAATGAGTTGGTACTTTTTCCGTCATATTGATCACTGATAGAAGTCGTACACCTGGAAGTTTACAACCACTAGGTTCCGTTTTGTTTACTGGTGTGCCGGGCTGTGAAAGAATTGACATCTCCTACATCTCTTCGTCACTGGATTTGTCAAAAACACTCTCACTACGGTGTTTAACATAAGCAGAATCACCTTCACAGTCCTCACATTTAGAGTAATTGTGAAGGTCTTGCCTTAAATTCAGAGGAGGCAATGATGACAGAAACGGAATTTATTCATCTCCTACGGAGGTAATTTCCAACGCCAATTCGTTTGTTAATCCTTTCCACGGCGCTGTTGGAAAAAATAAGCCTGCGAGTCACACGAGATGGTACAAAATGTGCTTAAAATAGCACATTTAATGGCTATGATATATATTTCGATGAGGTAAATCCCATCCCTGGAAAAGGTATCCAGTTGCGGTCTACTACCCCGATTTATATATATATATATATATGGCCCCTGGTAGAGTATAAAAATGTAATTTTGTGCAATTTTGCAGCGTAATTAGCGTCGCTAGATAACTCTGTCCGCCATCAGGAGTTCGTAAACCACAATTAAACAAAAAACATCAATGTTAATATTAATATTGTAAAAAATTCTAGTATGAGCCATTAAAATTGTTGAATGACCTTCTTCACCTCAGACACTCGTGTCAGTCAAGTTTGAATCAACGTCCGCCATTTTGAATTTTGTTCAAAAAAACCCCTGACCTAGCAGCCCGGCTGCTTCTCGCGCCAATTATCTGCCCCCAAGGGGTGAGCATCTGGCTCCTTTTTCATAGCAAATTCATAAATTGTCTACTAAAACACTGTGCAACATAGAAGCAAGGCCAATTTATGCACTAAAAGCTGCTCAGATATCTCAGAATTGGAAGAAAACTAGTAAGAGAAATTGCTCAGAAATTATGTAAAAAGTTACTTGAAACGAAAAAAAGTTGCTCGAAATACTACAAGTTGCCAAAACGTTGGCGAGCAACTTGTGGAAAGCTCTAGGGAGAAGGAGGAGGGGAGGAGGGGGGGTGGGAGGCTACTCAATAAAGCTACAAGTTGCCAAAACGTTGGCGAGAAACTTGTGGAAAGCTCTAGGGAGAAGGGGGAGGGGGAGGGGGGTTGGGAGGCTACTCAATAAAGCTTTGTTCGCAGAGGCTTCGCCCCGAGGTCCAGTGCCTTACCCTTAAATATACTATTTTTAATAAAACTTATCCCTTTCGTGTATCTTCCATTAAAAGGTTGTACCCTTTTCATATATCTGCTTCGTGAGAATAAATCGCTAAGAAAGGAGGTTTTCCGGTCATTTTCGAGTAACCTTAACATGTAAATGATACTGCCATAAGGCGTGTTTCTTCGAAGCATTTTAATAATAGGCCCTTTAAAACACTTAATGAAAGATTTTCCTCTCCTTTCACCTACTTCAACTTGTGATTTCCTAGCTACCCTTTGATACACCTGATGCTTGAAAGAGGTACCCTTCGGGCGAAGCCTTCCGGACTATGAAACTGTGCATCAGGAAATCATGAACAGGAGATGAGTGGACCTTCGGACATGGACGGTGATTGAAGACTGACGCAAAAATAGATGATACAAGAAAGAGTCCAAAGAAATGGGATATGGGATAACTCAAAATGAAGTGAATGAAGAGCAAATGAAGACTGAATAAAGTAATGCCAATTGGTCACCTGTTCACCACACCCTATCACTCCGTCAGAAAAAAAAAAACAAAAAAAAACGACAACACAAAAAAAGCTAAATTTACATAACTAAAAATAGTAATTAAAGAAGAAATAGGACTGTTTTTGTTTTTTTATCTATTTGGTAATTCATCACTTTTGGACAAGGCAGCTACTAGTGCCAGTCACTCCTGAGTGCTGAATTTTCAAGATGGCGTCGCTTTGTTATTTTCTAGTTTCATCCTATCGTTCAGCACTTTTTGCCCTTTCAAAATGTAACCTAGGCAGTATTTCGAGCTTTTTGATATGTTCTCCAGCTGTTGAACATACTTTACAGCGAAGTATGAAAGAAAATTCACGAAGAGGACTTTAAAAAAACACGAAGGGATCGGCCCGTTTGCAAGAAAAAGCTTGGAAACTATAACAAACGTGAGTTTTCTAATTTCTTCCTGTTTCAATGGCCCAAAATGATTATTAGTGTTTTGGTTACATGGATGATAGCAGACTGTAATTTGGCTGTCAGAGTTGTTCTGTCGTTTTAGTTGTGCGCTGTAGATCAATTCAAAAATGCCCGATTTTTTGCTCGTTTGCAGACACTGAGTTTAGGTCAGATAAAATAAGAAAATTTTAGTCTTGTCCGTGGGTACTTAACAAATCTTATGGTTTTAGAAAGTAGTTCTGTGATGTGTTGTATCGCATACAAAAAATAAACTTCGCTCGTTTATTTTTGAGGGTTCTGTGAGTTTCAGAAAATGGTGAAAATTTGCTTATAAAAATGGCGTCCGAGGGGGTAGAAGAAAGTGATGCTCGTATCAATAATACAAGAGCAGTGAAGAATCTATGTTTGGTATATTTGTCCATTACTCCACCAGACCTATCTATGATGTTAGTATGAACTTATTCTGTTGACCCCCTTCCGTTAACATTTTTAACATTTTCCCCGGTTTTCTCTGACAACCACTCTTAAACTCTTTCTTTATGTCTCTTTTAAAAAAGGCATAAGCCAGTGGGTTAATAGCTGAGTTTAAAACCAAGAAAGTAATTTTGTAGTTTTCATCATTACATGGTGATGAGGATAGTACTAGAAAACTACAACGTAGATACATACCGTAGCAAACAAGAAACACTCCTATCACAATACCCATCATCATTACTGCGGACTTCTCGTGATGGGTTTTAAACGATACCTGATGGTTAAAACGCAACTGTTTTGCTAAGGTGCGTGCTGACTGATCATGCCTGCATACATGAAATATCATTGATACAAAGCAGAGCATTAATACAACACATGGAAGAAACTCGGAAATTATGGTCGGCCAAATAAAAGGACACTCGGAGGTATCGTTTTGAAATAAGACAATACAAAGGGTATTTTTTAGCGCATTGTAACTAACTGGTAGAGCCCAAGAGAAGAAAATAACTTGGGTAATTCGACGGCGAGTCATCAAAGTAATATATTTTAGAGGATAGATGATGGCAATAAAACGATCCAGTACTAAGCCGCATAAGTTTACAGCAGACGAGTGACTAAACAACAATCTTATAATATTCACCCACGATAACCAATAATCAGGCCAGTGGCAGGTGTTTGTAATGTAATAATAATACATTTATACTAAATGTTTCTTTGTGTGTTTGATAATAAAATAGCAATAAAATGTTGTAATAAATTCTTGGAATATAATACATTGTTAAAGGTGAAAGTGTTCTTTATCGCTTAATGTCAAAAATGTTGTTATGTAGCGTTTTTTAATGTACCGTTCCAGCGGTGGACATCTCGTCTACTCTTGCTAGGGTTTCCCATGGTCCCATGGGAAGGAGGGGGGGGGGGGGGGATGGAGGAATTCTTTAGAAATTTTTCGGGTGGTAATGTGCCGCTGGGACACTGGGACACCTAGTCTTTACTCCTGGTTCAGCTGAATTTTGGAAATATTTTGAAACAAAGTTTGAAGGGCCATAAAAAACATTGAATAAATATGCTATCGACATGCATAACTGGCTTATATCTAAAGAAAATGATGAGGTCTTGAAATGCAGTTTCGTCTCATAGCATAGCGATTAATTTCCGAAGATGTCTCTGAATTATGCTAATGTTGGAGATCATGGTAAAGACAACATCTTTAGAGTCACTTTTTCATCATGTGGGACACAGAAATAAATCGCTTTGCAACAGTTTATTTGAATTTATGTTTCCTTTTTGCAATACCTGTTTTCAGTTAACTTTTTTAGCTTTATTTTCATTGGTACGGAGACCCCTGAACATGACAGGAAAGTAACTGAGGATCCTTCTGAAAGCAAATTAGAACAGCTACTACGTAATGCAAATCAAGACGGGTATTACAAATTATTACAAAATCGTCCACTGACGTTCTCTAAACAGCTTTAAAACTTGTTTGAAGAAAAAGATTGCTTTTCGCCACCCCATAGGGATCAATGGGAACCTGAAAAAAAATATCCATGTTGCCTTATGGATCATACAGATCATGCTCTAAAGTTTTTAATATTTCATTCACACCTAGCATGGACTGAGGTTAATTAACTATCAGTTTTCAGGGAAAGGAAAAAATAATACAATTCTTTTCCTGTACAAAAACAAAAACGTTTACTTCATGCTTGTTTAAATTCTAGGAAACTACTTAACAGAGTTGATTACAATAATTAATGTGGAAAATAAAGCCAGGAAAAAGAAATACTTTCCCTTGGTTTGAAACAAAAGTTTCAATTAGAAATTTCGTCTACCACTACCTTTGACGTAGGCTTGATACCTCAGAATCGCCGTTTCAAGAGCAACTGACATATACTGCTAGGAACCTTACGAAACTACAACGGCGACGGCAAGAAGAACGCCTAAAACACAATAGGCTTCAGTGAGCAAAACAACAGCTCCGGCTGCACGTGCCTCACTTTTTTTTGTACATTTCTCCGCTGTCCCTACACAACTACAACGTGGAATAGTCAATGATTTTTAGATGACGGGCTTAAGAACTGGAACGACAAGGCGATAAATTTATTTACTATCCCTCTCTGAACTCGGACGCGGTCTCCTCTCTTCAGTTCGAACCTAACACATGTTCCGCACTTTCAATTCACTGGGCGACTTGGTATGAGGGCGAAAAAGTTTCAATGGACGCGAAGTCTATTTTTCAGCGACGTTTTCATTGGCGTCTCTGTTTTTGGATAGTAAGGTCCCTTTTGGATTGTATCCTCGTCCTCCTTTGGTTCTTGTACCCTCCTTAAACACCAGTGCTTCCAAACTATGATTTGAGACAAACCGTCAGGGATTTGCCGACCCCAAAACTGCCGCCTGCGATGCCTGACACAATCCGCTATCAAAGGCAGTTCTGCCGACCAATATTAAGATCTATGTCCTTCAAAAATGATCAAGTGGAAGGCTCTACACGGTTACTTTTCCGCCTAAATTAAACCAGCTGACTGATAAGCCTTTTAAACTCTTTCTTTATGTCTCTTTTGAAAAAAGCATAAGACATTGGGTTAATGGCCGAGTTTAAAACCAATACAGGAATTTTGTATTGTTCATCTTTACATGATGCATTTGTGTCGGATAGTACTACGAGACTACAACGCAAATATATTCCGTAGCACACAACAAACACTCCTATCACAATACCCATCATTATTACTGCAGACGTCTCGTTATGGGTTTTAAAAGATATCCCATGGTTAAAACGTAACTGTTTTGCTAGGGTGTGTGCTGACCGATCATGTTTCCATACATGAAGTAACATTGACACAAAACAGAATATCTGCAGAACGCATGGAACGATTTCCATGGAAATCATTAAAACCACAACTGCAACGATACTGGTCAGAGGGGTCTCACAGCAAAGCCGAAGTGCGGTCTTGAACGCAACCAATGTAAATGACGCTATCCAACAGGAAGTTATCACTTGAATAACACGAGATCGAGTCATAAAAGTTATGTATTTAAAAGGCTTTACGATGGCGATATAACGGTCGAGCACCAGAGAACTCAAGTTTAAAACAGACAGGTAGCTAAACAGCCACCTTACGACATCTTTCCATGACGGAAAAGTCTGAGGCCACTCACAGGTGCTTGTAACGTCGCATATAAACAAAGAAGGAATGACGCTCAAACCAACACAGAAATCCGCTACTGCAAGTGAAACAATAAACGCGTTGGTTTTGGTGCGGAGATTTCGTCTGCTGCAGACGAGGAAGATTACAAATCCATTTCCAGTGATGGCAAGAAAGGAAAGAACCCATCCAAGAATCCAAAACCAGGTCTCCATCCGTACTAACGGCAGTTAAGAGAAGTTCTTATTAAATACTATTCTCTTTACAACTAAACCAACCTACAAATTGCGACAGGTCTACTACAAATTACGACAAAAGTGCATTAATAAATAAAAAGCCAAGGCCGTCTCTTAAATATCACGTACAGCGCGTTACTAAATTTGCCTGAGAACGTTTCCACTGTTGTCGTTAACTATTCATAAGCGAGAAAATAAAACAAGACAGACAGGAGCCAGCAGCATCACGGTAATCTGCCTAGACTGTTCCGTTTAACTCCATTGCTATACTAAATAGAGTATGCAATGGTTTTCAGTTAATAAATAGAGCAAGGAAAAAAAATAAACTGATCACGATGTGAAACAGAAACACAATGTCAATAAGTTTTTAACGGCAGTTCAACTGTGCAAAAAACACCATCTTCAAAAAAACTTCTTGAATGTCTAACAGTTAATTAATTATTTATAGAACCTTGTTATTTTATAATCGTTTCAATATGTATATATATACATGGCGCAAGACGCCTGGGGTGTCGATATGATCTTTAAGAACTGTTTCACTAGCTCAGTTATCAATCAATTAACAATATTGTTTAGTTAGATGCCTTCTACTGCACTATTATTTCGTACTGCTAAATTGGAAGGTTTTATTATTCATTCGGCATGCAACGATTTTAATATCGTTCCAGCCACAAGCAACTCGTCTCTCCAATTTGCTGTTGGGCTTCCTTAGCAACCAATATTAATTTCTTTGTCATGATTTCTACAGAATTTAAAGGAAAATTAGCCTTACGCTCGTGTAACCTGGGCGAAAAAGGTGACACATTTGATAGCTATACCTTTTTTCTCCATAACAAGTCATTTTACACTTTACACGATTTTATCATTTCAGTCACACCTGCAAGACTAACCTGAAATAAACATGCACAGGAAGATTACAAAACTACTACATTTCTTTGTGTTTTTCTCAACAAGGGAATTACTTCATATAACAAGAGTATCGTACAGTTAATCTTTCAGTTGGGTTCGGTAAATTCCAGGAATCTATCGCCGTTAACAGAGTTGATTAGGAAGACTATTGAAGAAACAACCTCAGTATGGAGGAAAATTGGCGCCAAGCCTTATGAAGTCATCGAACCTCGAACTTCTGAACTTGTCAATCTTGTTTTCTCCCTTCAATCTGGTATTCAGAGTGGAAACATCCGTTTCAGTTTGATAAATTGATGGTCATAACCGATGAGCCCGCTGTACAAAGCGCACGGCTATTAAACCTGGGTTCGAACTGTATCCAAGCAACAAGCACCACATGCTCACGCTATCTTTGTTACTCGATTGATGCAGAGTCTTGCTCGAGTATACCAAAATCGAGCAAGTGAAGCAAAGCGGGCTTTGGTAGCAGCCGGTGTAAACAAAAAATTATACTCTCATGATCTGAAACTAAAAAGTTCCATCCAATAACAACTTGCGTCTCACACCACCTGTGAAGCTTGATCCTAAGACGTCCTTTCCCTTGTATTTTGTATTCCCTGAGGGTCCAAAGGTTCTGGTTTTCTCTCCTAATGCGCCATTTTTTCCAAATTTCAATTCGCTTTGAGTCCAAGCCTCACACGTTTATTAGTCTTTTACTGAATTGCTCAAGCCTTTCACACTCGTTCATTAAAGACTTGCATCCTATACTACAAGAATGAGTTACGCACGTCAAGTGGTAGGCTTTAGTTTTCTTTATTATTTTCTTTAAAACACAGCGCCAAGTCAGATGCATCCCATAGCAAACAAGAAACACTCCTATCACAAGACCCATCATTATTACTGCAGACCTATCGTGGAGGATTTTAAACGACATCTAATGGTTAAAACGTAACTGTTTTGCTAAGGTGCCTGCTGACTGTTTATGCCTGCGTGCGTGAAATATCATTGATGGAAAGCAGAGTGTTAACAGAACACATTGAAGAAACTCGGAAATTATTGTCAGCCAAATAAGAGGGACAGGGACAGGTATTGTTTTGAAATAAAACATATAAAGGGTAATCTTTAGCGCGCAAAAACTAACTGGTATAACCCAAGCTAGAAGACAATAATTCGGATAATTCGACAGCGAGTCTGAAAGTAACGTATTTTAGAGGATGAACGATGGCAATAAAACGATCCAGTACTAAGACGCATAATTTTACAACAGACTTGTTAATTACTAAGCAACCACCTTATAATATTCACCCAAGTTGACCAAGATAGCAAATGTTGAGGCCAGTCGCAGGTGTTTGTAATGTCGCAGAAGAACAGAGAAGGAATAACGCTCAAACCAACACAGAAATCCGCTACTGCAAGTGAAACAATAAATGCGTTGCGTTGGTTTTGGTGCGGAGATTTCTTCTGCTGCAAACGTACTAAAACTTAGGGCCCATTTAATTAATTGCATTAATATTGTCTGGGCAATAATTTTTCGGTTAAGTGACTTTAAGTCAGTGCCCGATCTTAGAGAAATGTAAGAAAATTGGACAGTTTTAACATTATCTTATAAACCTCTGTAACTCCAGACGCTGAGATAGCCATAACGTATGAAAGACACCAATAAAATTAGGGGTAACCGTTCTCGCGCAACCGCCCTGATGGGCGTGAAAAAGGCTAAGGTATACAACATTTCAAGTGGCCACTACCAGGCTTCATCCGTTTTTTTACGGAAAACCACGAATATACAGAATATATGCTACTGTAAAATAATTAACGGAAATCACATGGTATGACGTGGTAAGGTGTGGCTGCTAAGAAAAATAGATAAAGAATGATTATAATTCGTCACGTTTGTTCATTCCCAGAGGCTCGATGGTTTTGGCTTTATGAATGGGATGCGCCTCACTTGCTTTCCTAAGACAATCGTGTTCATATCTAAATGGCTATTGCTGAGAGAGTGTTCTGAAACTGCGGTTTGGATGCGACTACCGAAGGCCGGTTAAGTATAGGAAGTCTATGTTCATTAAAACAGTCCTGGAGGCGGCGTTTAGTTTCCCCAATATATTGCAAATTACAAAGGCGGCATTGAATCATGCAGATAACATTGAACATGTTGAAAAGATTACAAGGAATGTGAGATTTGATTTCGTAGGTTTCACCCGTAGAGTAGTAAAAGTATAATTGTCACGGCGGTGGTCAATATAGGGCCATGTGGTGCAGTTCCTGCTGTTGCACCGAAAAGAACCGGGAGAGTGGCCCGGGCATTGTTGATATTATCAGTCTCTGGCAATTGAGCTCTAACAAAAATATATCGCTTAAATTGATAGAGCTAATAAACGCCTTTTTCTACAGAAGCCATTTGCGACCTCATTTGTGTTATCCTCACCATGAACAAATTTACTTTTAATTCTCAGCATGCATTATCTTCATAAACTCGGCACAGCTATGGGCACTAGAATCGCTCGGTCGTACGCCAACTTATTTCCTTGGAAAATTCGAACACGACGCTCTTCTTCGCGCTCCCTATCAACTATTATTGTGGCTCTGATTAATCGTAGATATCTTCATGATCTGGACTGAAGTTCTAGAGAAACTGTAGCTATTTGTCGATTATCTTAACGCTTAACAACTTAAACTCCACCATAAAGTTTACATGCTCACACTCGTTTAACAATATCCCTTTCCTTGATGCAATGGTTTCAGTCAAGGATGGCTTCATGGAAACTGACCTATTAATTCTAAACCTACTGACAAACACCAGTATCTTGTCATTTCATCTTGTCATCCTCATCACACTAAACGCTCTATTCATTACAGCCTTGCACTTCGCCTTCGCATCTTTTCCAGCCATGACAGTTAGATACAGCTTACTAATGAACTTATTAACTACCTTACCAATCGTGGTTACGACAAAGCCTTTCTCACGACACAAATACAGCGTGCCTCAGACGTTCCTCGTGCTGACGCACTTAAACACAAACCTCCTACGCAGACTGAAACCACTCCGTTTTGTTATTTATTACATATAACCCTTACATTGCCACCTGAATGTCGCGCGCATTATTCACAAACATTCCCACGTCCTCTGCTCCTCAGAACGTTGTAGAAATGTTTTTAAAAGCCTTCTAATAGTATCTTACTGCCATTCTAACAATTTAAGCGATATTCTTGTTGAATTGCCCGAGACTGATAATTGTAACAATGCCCGGGCCACTCCCGGTTCTTTTCGGTGCAACAGGAGGAACTGCACCACATGCGCCTATATTGACCATGCACGGCCGTGACAATTTTTCTTTCTACTCTGCAGGTGAAACCTACAAAATCAAATCTCACATTACTTGCAATATTTTCAATGTTATCTACATGATTCAATGCCACCTTTGTATAAAATTTGCAATATTTTGGGGAAACCAAACGCCGCCTCAAGGACCGTTTTTAGATATAGACGCCCTATACTTTAACCCCTCCGGTAGTTACATCCAAACCGCAGTTTCAGAACACTTTCTCAGCAATAGCCATTCTGTTTCCCATATGTTACTTATCCCTAGTACTAAAACACTTAGATATGAACGCAATTGTCTCAGGAAAGCAAGTGAGGCGCACCTCACTCATAAAGCCAAAACCATTGAGCCTCTAGGAGTGAATAAACGTGACGAATTATAATCATTATGTAATCTTTATTTATTTCTCTTAGCAGCCACACCTTACCAAGTCATATCATGTAACTTCTGTTTATTACTTTACAGTAGTATTTATTCTGTATATTCGTGGTTTATATACCTCAGCTGTTTTCACGTTTTTTGATCAGTCTTTGCCTGCAGTAGTCTTTTTGACTTTAATTCTATTTTTATCTTTTTCGACTGATCACGTTCTTGTTTGATCCAACGTTACATTGATCATTCACGGTTTTTGCAGTGGTCTTTGAAGCCCTAGTTTACATAACACAAAAACTGTGTAAAGAAATAAGCAATAATGAGAAATACATTGTTAATTACCGCTTTTTTTCACGCATCGTTTTTTAAGCCATAACTTCTGCCGAACAAAATTTTGGCCTTTTTTATCGTTCTGGTAAAATGCTGGAAATTTTTTGGTGTCAGGAGGCGATAGTAATTGGCTCGTACTGGTGTAGACTGGGGAGAATATTGAAAGAAGCAACGCGCTAGCGCGCAAAGAATTGTTGACTCACTCGCAAGTTCTCTCGCGTGTATCACGGACTCGTTCGCTGTGAAAAGCTTGCTCGCAGGCTTCTGCGATTAACAATCATTGTATACAAAACATTTTAAAAGTGACTGAACGATATACTGACCTAACACCTAGATCCTACATCACAATAGCTTGACAAACCCACGGATGCTCTATTGCTGACCATTAGTATCGCAGCTCTAGACAAGCCTTTGCGCGCGCAAATAACTTATGGTCAATTCTCTATGACATCACTCTTTAGCTAAAAACTTCACTTTTGGAAAAAGAAAAACGAAACTGAAACTTACGGAGAGATTTTACAGAATCAGTGATTTTTATCTAAAAATGATTGTTTTTGTGCATTTCAGAAAAGATTCTCCGTCGACTAAGGATGGTAGAGATGTATGTATACAGCTGCGAGCATAGCAAAAGGTGTAGTGATTAATAACCTGCGATCAGATCGACAGTAGTTGAAAGAAGATAATCACTTCCGAGAAAAGATTTGTTAAAAACTCAAAAGAACCTCACCGATCTGGAAAGATCGGGAAAATTAAAAGAAAATAATTTGAGAAAAGAGTTACAGCGGCTAAAAGAATCGCAAGAAGACATCAAACGGAGGCATAGGAACGCTGTAAGGGAATTAAGCGATGTGAAAGGAAAAAAACCTCAAGCTGAAAGCTCATTGCACTTCCCTGTTTATTCAATAAACAATGAAGTGCAATGGGCTTTCAGCTTGAGCTTTTTAAACGCTGTCAAAGAAAAAAAACTCAAGCTGAAGGCTCACTGTACTGCTCTGTTTATTCAATAAACAGTGAAGTGCAATAAGCTTTCAGCTTGTTCGAGCTTTTTTAAAACGATGTGAAAGGAAAAAACCTCAAGCTGAAGGCTCACTGTACTGCCCTGTTTATTCAGTAAACAGTGAAGAGCAGTGAGCTTTCAGCTTGAGCCTTTTTTAAACGATTTGAAAGGAAAAAACCTCAAGCTGAAGGCTTACTGTACTGCCCTGTTTATTCAGTAAACAGTGAAGTGCAGTGAGCTTTTGGCTTGAGCCTTTTTTAAACTATTTGAAAGGAAAAAACCTCAAGCTGAAGGCTAAGTGCACTTCGTGCACTTCCCTGTTAAAGGGGCTTGATCAGAGAGCCCAGGAACTTCGGCAGAAACAACAAAAACTTGATCGGGTAGAACAGTAACTCGATTTGGTCTACAGCCTAGGCGAAAGTCTGAATCATGCAGCTAGCTCCCTAGTGTATATTATTACTGATGAACTGCTGTATAAAGTACTTCCAGTGGCCCGGGCCATCGTCTGGAGGAGCGACCATCACAGAGCTCGACACTAATGAAGTAACAACCGCGGAGGGAAACACGATTGTACTGTTGTCTCACCATTAGGAAGCTTAGCAACAACGACGGCGACTGCTATGGAGTCATTTAAAAAGTGAATTCGCGCTGCCTCAAACTTTATCGCGTTTATTGCATCTCTTTTAATTTGTCATATGTGGGCAAATTTTTTGGAGTTGAATTCTGAAGGACTGTAGCAAAGTTCACGAAAAGAAAAAGAAAGTTGTTGTCTTGTGTCCCCGTAAAAGAAAAAAAGTGAAATTAGGCACTGTTACGTTGTAGTCGTGTTGACGGCAAAGAAATGTAAGAAAAAAAAGCGTGATGCACGTGATGCAAAGTTGTTGTTTTGCTAATCTAACCTATTGCCTTTTTAGCCGTTCCTGTTCCCGTTCCCGTTCCAGTCGTCGTTGCTTAAGCTCCCTATTATAGCGTGACAGGGAGTCCTCGTGTCATCAAAACCATCTTCGGAAGCAGTCATAGTACCTGTATCAGACGCCAACAAAATTCTTGCACCTGTGAACATGGTGAATGAAAAGGGAATGGATTCCCGAACAACTCTGGTAGCGCAGAATGTTATCCTGTCAGTCAGACGGAACATCATCTGTCCCCAAACAGCCTATACATCCTGAGCCAAGCTTCCTTCCGTGACCTAAACCCGATCAAGTTCCTGCTGTTCGATAATAACACCACCAGTTGGTCAGGCTATCCTTTAAGTTCCTGGCTTTCCTCAATTATCGGCTCTCCACATTGAAGTGCCCTCAAGACCGGGTAGCCACCTGCAGCAGCTTGCCATTTGTGCACCAGATTGGGCAAAATACCTGCAGCTGTGAAAGGAAGTGGCCAAACACATGCGTAAAATAATGTTCTCGGCCACTTCCTGAACACTCAATCTTGGTTAAAACGAGGATTGAGTGTTCAATTGCTACAACGTTCACTAAAACAGCGAGAGTTACCATCACCTCTTGCGACAAGCCTTTTGAATCTTCGCCAAAGAGAGGTAAAGAGGAACACGAGAGAGGAAGTGACGAACCAAAAGATGGAAATTACCAGTCGACCACTGTTTTTTCCGAGCATCGGCTCTCCCTCGCGAACAACCGTCAACGAACTCGACGGAAAAAAACACAGACTTTGGTGAGTTGGCACAAAATTACAGTTACTCCTCAAAATTTAATTGGCCTAAAAGTTTTTCAGTAGATCAAGTTATATGAAAATCGTGGAATTGTCGAGAACTTTGTGCACTAATTAATTAGTGAGTGGATGACGCTGCGTTAGGAATTTTTGGTTAGGATTAGGTTTTATTTAAATTTAGGTTAGGTTAGGATTTTTTACCTTTCCGCGAGTATCGCAAAAGAACATAATTATATATGGTCTTTTAAATCGTATTCAGATACACAAGGGACTGTTTTTATTCACAAATTGTAACTTGCTAGTGTAAATGGGGTTTTGTTTTCGATTGACGCGACGTATTGTGCGCATGCTCTCAGTTATGTGTCTCTTACTTAATATCTCCAAGTAGCTCTATGTCATGGCCTTTCTGCCGCTTTGCAAAGACTTCGTGAATAAAAATGACTGGCTTTTGGAAATTAAAGAAAACGCTGTTTTCTCGGGCCAAAGAGGCTTAAAAAGTATCCATTCAGCGTGGGGAACTCTTCGTCGTTCTTGAAGATAGCGTTTTAACAATTTAACTGCATATTTTCGTCGTAAACAGTCTTCTTTGGTTATATACTTTATCTTTGCAGAAGAAAAGAGTGAACAGATTTATCTCCTGGCTACGACGCCATTCCATTCAGAAAGCTTTTTTAAAAAAGCTCTCTGGTTATTTGGCATTTTCTTATTTTCATAAATATTGTTATACCCTCACAAAGAACACTGACGAAATAACTCAGTCCAATTTATAGAGACTGTCACTCCACCTGTTACTTCAACTGGCCGGCTACTCCTAGTATTGTATTTTGCTTCATGCTTCACGAATAGCCTTTGCTTCTTGAGGGTTGTGTTTTAATTCTATTTTGTAACAAGGATTTTGAAATAAAGTTGTTTTAAGTTGTTGTTGGTCCCATCATGCCTAGCAGGCCTAGCAAGGACAAAGAATAAACTGACCTACAGGCGGATCCGGATCATATAGCTGATGTGAACGACAGGATGGTACAGACGGTTGCTGTTATCATAGACCAGTAGGTACAATTGTGAAATGCAATTCCCCAAACCTTACCCCCGACAGTCAAGTGTCGGAGCTTGTTGTTCACAATATACAACCGACAGTCAAATAACCTGCTTTGAAGTATTTGAGGAAAAGATAACAGATAAATAGGGTAAAAGTGGTGGCTTGAGTTGAATCCAGAAATATTCAGCTAGGCACATGGGAGGGTCGAAAAAAGAAGGTAGTCAGTGGACTAAACAGAGCCTGCGTGGCAGACGTTCGAAACCCGAGAAGTAACCATTATTTAACAATTAAGTAAGTAAGCAAGGTTCAATCTCAACATCATCGCACATTAATGAATCAGTACAACGTTGTTACAAGCCGTTCTTAAAAATAAGATTACAAGCAAATCGTATAAAAAAGGGACTGGTTTACAATAATGACGATGATATGTAATCGAATTACCAACAATTCCAAAACGATTTTTAATATATATACCTAGCCGATTTTTTGAAAAACAACCTAACGAAATTTGCAGTCATTTGAGTGAAAAAGTGTCAAAAGGCAGGTTTCTTAAGCCCGTCAGAAGCTCCAAAATCATAGTAACGAAAGAAAAGAAAAGCAGAAAGGGCGAGGAGAAGGAAAGGAAGAGAAGAGAAAAAAGCAATGGCTGCACTCTTAGTTTTTATAATGGCTAGGAAAGCCAGGAAAAAGAAATACTTTCCCTTGGTTTGAAACAAAAAATTCAATTAGAAATTTCGTCTACCACTACTGTTGACGTGGGCTTGATACCTCAGAATCGCCGTCTCAAGAGCAACTGACATATACTGCTAGGAACCTTACGAAAATACAACACAATAGGCTTCAGTGAGCAAAACAACAGCTCCGGCTGCACGTGCATCACTTTTTTTAGTACATTTCTCCGCTGTCCGTACACAACTACAACGTGGAATATTCAATTTTTTTTTAGTTGACGGGCTTAAGAACTGGAACGACAAGGCGATAAATTTATTTACTATCCCTCTCTGAACTCGGGCGCGGTGTCCTCTCTTCAGTTCCAGCTTAACACATGTTCCGTGCTTTCAATTCACTGAGCGACTTGGTATGAGGGCGAAAAAGGACCCGAAGTCTATTTTTCAGCGACGTTTTCATTGGCGTCTCTGTTTTCGGATAGTAAGGTCCCTATTAGATTGTATTCTTATCGTCCTTTGTATTGGTTCTTGTACCCTCCTTAAACACCAGTGCTTCCAAACTATGATTTGAGACAAACCGCCAGGGAATTGCCGGCCCCAAAACTGCCGCCCGCGATGCCTGACACAATCCGCTATCAAAGGCAGTTCTGCCAACTAATATTAAGATCTATGTCCTTCAGAAATGATCAAGTGGAAGGCTCTACTTGGTTACTTTTCCGCCTAAATTAAACCACCTGACTGATACGCCTTTTAAACTCTTTCTTTATGTCTCTTTTGAAAAAAGCATAAGACAGTGGGTTAATGGCCGAGTTTAAAACCAATACAGGAATTTTGTATTGTTCATCTTTACATGATGCATTTGTGTCGAATACTACTAACAGACTACAACGCAAATATATTCCGTAGCACACAACAAACACTCCTATCACAATATCCATCATTATTACTGCAGACTTCTCGTGATGGGTTTTAAAAGATACCCGATGGTTAAAACGTAACTGTTTTGCTAGGGTGCGTGTTGACCGATCATGTTTCCATACATGAAGTAACATTGACGCGAAACAGAGTACTTGCAGTACGCATGGAACGATTTCCATGAAAATCATTAAAACCACAACTGCAACGATACTGGTCAGAGGGGTCTCGCAGCAAAGCCGAAGTGCGGTCTTGAACGCAACCAGCGTAAATGACGCTATCCAACAAGAAGTTATCACTTGAATAACACGAGATCGAGTCATAAAAGTTATGTATTTAAAAGGCTTTACGATGGCGATATAACGGTCGAGCACCAGAGAACACAAGTTTAAAACAGACAAGTAGCTAAACAGCCACCTTACGACATCTTTCCATGAAGGAAAAACCTTAGGCCAGTAGCAGGTGTTTGTAACGTCGCATGCGAACAAAGAAGGAACAACGCTCAAACCAACACAAAAATCCGCCACTGCAAGTGAAACAATAAACGCGTTGGTTTTGGTGCGGAGATTTCGTCTGCTGCAGACGAGGAAGATTGTAAATCCATTTCCAGCGATGGCAAGAAAGGAAAGAACCCATCCAAGAATCCAAAACCAGGTCTCCATCCGTACTAACGGCAGGTAAGAGAAGTTCTTATTAACTACACAAATAAAACAAAAATATCCTCTTCGCAAAAATGTCAGGAGGTTGTATATATGTTATTCACTGTCAGATGTATGTTACTAGACTGAAGTCCTTTTTATTGTCCTACTTTGTCATAAACTTGGTAATTTCTAGTATGTGTTTCGCATGCGCAGTAGGTAACTGACCGAGCTGTAATAACACAGTTGGTAGGAAAATGAGGATAGTTGCGTGTCATAACCGCTGTAATTCTAAGCCAATGGGCGCTTTCAATACAACAAAAATTCCGGTTGAAATGTTGGAAATTCCACTTGCCCAATGGAACTACATCGACCCGAGCAAAGCCTCTGCGCGTTTGGTTACTGTTCCTACAAATGGAAAGGGACACTCCAACATTGCCGATCTTAATCTAAATAGCTCTGATCTGACTGGATCTTAATTATTCTCTTTACAACTAAACCAGTCTGGTCTGTCAGTTCTAACAAATGGTTTTAACCGAGACCTGATGAAAAATGATATAATTAAAGGAACCTTCACTTTAGTCTAAATTGCGGCACATGTTTCTTACAAATTGTGACAGGTTTACTACAAATTACGACAAAAGTGCATTAATAAATAAAAAGACTGTCTCTAATATCACGTACAGCGCGTTACTAAATTTGCCTGAGAACGTTTCCGCCGTTGTCGTTAACCATTCCTAAGCGAGAAAAAAAAAAAGAAGACAGATATGAGCCAGCACTGCATCACGGTAATCTGCCTAGTCTGTCCCGTTTAATAAAATATTACATGCAAACGAAATTAAAACAGGTAAAAACAGCTCTAGCCATACTAAATAGAATAATTATGCAAAGGTTTTCAGTTAATAAATAAAGCTGATCACGATGTACAACAGAAACACAATGTCGCTACGTTTTTTAAGGCAGTTCAACTGTGGAAAAAACACCCTCTTCACAAAATTCTTGTCTAGACTTTATTAATTATTTATAAGACCTTGTTTTTTATAATCCTTTCAATATATATATATATATATATAGATATAGATGACGAAAATTAGCCTTGCGTTTGTGTAACCGGGGCGAATAAGGTGATAAATTTGATAGCTAGAGTCCTTTTTCCATATGATAAGTCATAATTATTGTGCATTTTTTTCATTTCAAGTCACACCTGCAGACTAAGCTGAAATGAGCTTGCACGGAAAGATTACAAAACTCTTACATTTCTTTATGTTTTTCTCAGAAGGAAATTATTTCATATAACAAGAATATCGTACAGTTAATCTTTCAGTTCGGTTCAGTAAATTCTAGGAATCTATCGCCGTTAACAGAGTTGATTACGAAGACTATTTAACGAACACCTCAGTGCGGAGGAAAATTGGCGCCAAGCCTTTTATTAAAGTCACCAAACCTCGAACTTCTGAACTTGTCAATTTTGTTTTCTCTCGTCAAACTGGTATTCAGAGTGCAAACATCCTTTTCAGATTGAAAAACCGATGGTCGTAACCGATGAGGCCGCTGTACAAAGCGCACGGCTATTAAGCCTGGGTTCGAACTGTATCCATGCATGCTCACGCTTTCTTTGTTACTCGATTGATGTAGAGTCTTGCTCGAGTATGCCAAAATCAAGCAAGCGAAGCAAAGCGGGCTTTCGTAGCAGCCAGTGTGCGGGCTTTGGTAGCAGCCGGTAAAAACTTGCGTCTCAAACCACCTGTGAACCTTGATATTAAGTCCTTTCCCTAATGTTATAGATATTCTCTGAGGCTCCAAACAAAGGTTTCTCTCCTAATGCGCCATTTTTCCAAATTTCAATTCGCTTTGAGTCTAAGCATCACAGATTTATCAGTCGTAGCTCAAGCCTTTAGCACTCCTTCATATAAGACCTACATCCTACAAGAATGAGTAACGCACGTCAAGTGGTAGGCTTTTAGTTAACTTTGTTATTTTCTTTAAAACTCAGCGCCGAAAAGTCTTTTGAACTCTTTCTTTATGTCTCTTTTTGTCTTTTAAAAAAGCATAAACCAGCGGGTTCTTGAGAAATTTTGGGGGGTGGTAATGTGACGGTGGGACCCTGGAAAACCTAGGCTATACTCCTGGTTCAGCTGAATTTTGCTCACTGTACTAAACTAAACTTCCCAAATACCTCCCTATACAAGAATTGCTCTCTGATTTCTATACCCAATCCTAGACTTAACTGCATGCTCGAAAACCATACCCTACAAAACGTCACAATATATACCATGTGGCAGTACCCTTGGGTTAGGTTGTCCACCGAGTTCCTTTATCACAAAGTTTAAAGAATCCACAGAAAAATATTTTCGCTCGTTTGAGTGGGGCGAATATGAGTATGACAAATTTTGATAGCTGTAATAAAAAAATGCATTTTTGCCTTTCTCCCTGTAACTAAAAGCTTGCTATAGTGAGTTTATAGACCTCTGACGATTTTATGTTGATTCTCTCCACCTCTTGACCAATAAAGAGGTAGAGAGATATAAAGAGATAATAAAGATATAAAGAGATAGAAGAGATAATAAAGACAACTGTTTGCATATTTAGATAATTTACACAATTAAACAAATAATTATAAAAAAAAAATGGCGGAAAATTTTTGGCACGTTTTGCGAAGAAAATGAAATAGCCAGAACTAATTACTGCCCAAGACTATAAAACACGACGGATAACAATTTAACAATTAGGGAGCGGTCATTAACTATTGGGGGGGGGGGGGAGGGCTGGTATTATTTCAAAAGCGAGGGCCCAAAAATTTTACCCCCTCTTAGGTTAACAGCCCAAAAATCCTGCCCCCTCCAAAAATGTTTGCCCAAAAAATTGTAACCCTCCCCTGTAATAACATTTCGAGTATTCAAATGTTGTATCCTGGGAATCCATATGAGCGTAACTTTGAGACAATTTTTTCATTGGAATAAAAAAAAGTGTTAGTATTCACAATATTTACGAAGCTCATTTACGCTTCACCAAGTAAAGAAAACCATTGACAGCCCCACTGTCACTTATTGAATTCCTGTCTTCTACTGAACTTGAAGAGTGAATAAATTGTGCATAATAACTTGTCAGCGAATAGCAAGAGGAAAATTGTCTCTATTCACGGAAAGTCCGCAGCTCTTGCTCTACCCCTCCAGGTCCTGCAAGTTCGGCCATATCGTGTGGTCTATGTTGCATTTGTTGAAAAAGAAAAACGTTCTGTTTCTGTTACTGTTTAAGACTTACTGAGTTTTGTAAAAGGATTAGTATAAACTGGACAACTATGAGTTAAAAAAAACAAAAACAAAAAAAAACAGACAAACAAATACAGATCGAGTACCAGTAAACATGAAAAAATACATTTTCAGTTATAATAACATATCATCAACTATCCGTGCACTTGTGATCGCGGCTCGTTTTAAGAAGGGCTTTCATCAAATTATGTGCCATTCAGATGTATTATAATACAGGAAAATCACCTGAAGATGACGTTGATTAAACAACAAAGCCAAACTGAAACCGTCCGCTATTTTCAAAGAAATTTCAAAGTCAAGGAAATTGGAAGCAATTCCGCAAGAAGTCACTGCTGATCTCCAGCCAATCAGAGTGCTTTTTAACCGAGTGAGTCAGCTTTGAGTACGCAATTCTTTTAATATTACTTGCACGGCCATCGTATTTCAAGCAGTGCTTAATATTTCAGTAGCACAAAACCCATTTAATAGTACGCGCACATCGCCCAAAGACGCCTAGAAATTGTAACCCTCCCCTAAATGCGGACCCAGAAAAATTTAGCCCTCCCTAAATGGGAGGCCCTCCCCCAAAATTTACCAGCCTTCCCCCCCCCCCAAATAGTTAATGACTGCTCCCTTAGTTCATGAGTCAGCGTGCGTATGTAGAGATATTGAGCTCGCAGGAAGATTGGAGAGCACGAAAGAGGCGTAAGAGTTGCTCGATGTGCAACCGAAAGCATTTTTTGCCTCTTGAGTGCTCTCCAAACTTCCCAAGGGCTCAATATCTCGACATACGCACAGCTGAATCTTGAACTAATAGTCTTATAACATTATCAAAGCTATCAATGCAGCAGCTACCTTACATTTTCATTATTATAGCGTGCACTCAAAGCAGTACGCGTCAATGTCTACGTGAGTAGGTTTTTTTACCTCACAGTTATGTTTTTGTCTTGAAACTGAGAGAAAGTTTAATCAAGTCGCTTAAGATAACGGTCAAAAGATTTTAAAATCCATATTGAGGTGCCGGAAAAGTATTGATTCACCAAAAAAATTCTTTTTGAAAGAAACAACTTTGCAAAAAATGATTTGCAAACGTCATAGCCCGTACAGCTCGCACAGATGACAACAACAATAACACTCACCTCTTTTCCCTATTATCGATTATCAAATTCAATCGTTTTCTCTTAAATTTTCGTTGTAAAACACATGGTTAACACTTTATCGTGTACTGTTGAGCTATGGATGCACTTGAGAGACGTCTTGGGAGGATTGCTAAGCTCACAAGAACTCGAGGTATATAGTTTACTGAGTAAGACGTCATCAGCGTGCTCAACAGGAATATGAAGCACGCTCGCGCTATTGAATTTAAATAGGCGAATGTTCTAGCTGTTATAAATAGTATTCCCATCGAGCACGCTGATGAGAAAAATAGCTAGTGTATTTCTATGATGTAGTAAAGTACCAGCTGGAGCATTATTGCGTTCGAGGTACGAGAACGCAAGCCCTAATTTGTGTTGGGTGTTCTGTGCATTATTGAGATTGCATTTTCGTCGTCGTCGACACACATTTGCCTCGCTTTGAGGCGCTTGCTTACGTTTTGCCTCACTTTGACGCGCTAACTCGTGTGGTGATTCTTGTGTCCTCGGCGTTCATCTTTCAAAGATTTGCTGAGGTCTGATATTCTGTCTTCGTAAAGCGTTCATCTTTTTTAAAGTTTGCTGAATCTTCGTAAAGCGTACATCGATCTGTGTTTGCTGAATCGTCTAAAACGTTCATCTT